CTGGTATCTAGAGCTCTGATTGAGCGATTCAAGGCAAGAAAATCACGATGGAAATGAATCATCTGAATGGGCATTTTCCAACAAGTCTTCCAATTCTAAAATTTGACAACTATGAGAATTGGTGCAAGCAGATGAAGGTTGTGTTCTATTGTCAAGATCTTTGGGATCTTGTGAAAGAAGGGTTAGAACCGCTTAAAGAAAACACAACAGAATAAGAAGAGGATGCGCACAAAGAATTAAAGAAGAAGAATTATAAAGCTCTCTTTATAATTCATCAATGTCTGAGTCCATATAATTTCGAAAAGGTGAGTGATGTAGAATTTGTGAAAGAAGCTTGGAAAATTCTGGAAAAGTCTTTTGGAGGTGCAAAAAAGGTGAAAGAGGTGAGGTTACAAAGTCACAAAAGAACGTATGAATTGCTTCAGATGGAAGAAAGTGAAATCGTAACTGACTTCTTCACTAAGGATACGAAACTGGTGAACCAAATCAAAGTATGTGGATAAGTGTTGACAACAAGATCAGTTGTTGCAAAGATCTTGAGGTCATTGGCTCCAAAGTTTGACCACATGGTGGTATCCATAGAAGAGTCGAAGAATTTATCGATATTTACAAAAGAAGAGCTTCAAGGGACGCTTAAATCTCATGAACAAAGAATGGCAGAAAGAGCTACAGTTAAGTCAAAGAGTGATGTGGCTTTGTAGGCACAGTCAGCAAGAGAAAAGAAAGGCAAAGAAAAGTGGTTCAACAACAGAGGTAGAGGAAGCTATAAAAATTCGTCTTGTAGAGGAAACCAACGGGAAGAAATTGTGTCAAATCAAAGAAGTATGGTCGAAAGCCTGACAATTCAGTGCTTCAATTGTCAAAAGTATGGTCGCTATTCTAGTGATTGTCCAAAAAAACAAAAGAATCAAGAAAGTGATGCAAAATTTGAAAAACATGAAGAAAAAGAGATCATGGTGAAGGTGACAACAAAAGATGAAGAGAGATTCAAGGACCAATGGTACTTGGATTCAGGATGCTCATCACATATGTCTTGAAGAAAAGATTGGTTTGTCAACATAAAACCATCAATGAAGAACATCGTGAAATTCGTAAATGAAAATACTCTAGCAACTGAAGTTATTGGAGACATTATAATTATGAGAAAAGATCACAAGAGGTCAGTATTTTCCAATGTGTTGTACATATCGGCCATGAAGAGAAATTTTCTCAGTATAGGCAGTTGGTCAAAAAGAATTATAAAGTGTCGATCAAAGACAAGATGATGAGAGTCGTCGACACAAGAGGAAGATTAATCTTGAAGGCTCTTATGTCTCATAATAGAACCTTCAAGATCAAACTAAATATGATGGAGCACAAGTGCCTTGTGACTACAACTAGCAGAGATGAATGGATATGATATTATCGACTTTGCCATCTCAACTTCAAAGACATCAGAGATTTGAAAAGAAGAAATATGGTTTCAGGATTACCAGAAATTGACATTCCAAACGAGGTATGTGAGGAATGTGTACAGGCGAAGCAACACTAGAATAGATTCAGAAAGGATGTAGGAAGCAAGTCGAAGGCAATCCTTGAAATCATATATTTTGATGTAAGTGGTCATATCCAGGTGGATTCAGTGGGAGGTAACAAATACTTTGTTACATTCATATATGATTACAGTCGAAAACTATGGACTTACCTGATCAAGAAGAAAAGTGAAGTGATTTAATTATTTGCCAAGTTTAAGTCTATGGCCGAAAGACAAAGTGGTCGAAAGCTCAAGATTTTGAGAACTGATGGTGGTGGAGAATATATGTCGAAAGACTTCGACATGTTATGTGAGAAAGAAGGGATTATGCATGAGGTGGTGCCACCCTACATTTTACAACAGAATGGAACTGCATAAAGGAAGAACCGAATCATCATGAATATGGGGAAAAGTATGTTGAAAGGCAAGAATTTACCTAAAGAGTTTTGAGGTGAATTTGTGTCATTTGCAACATACATTTTGAACAGATATCCGAAAAAGAAGCTAGAAGGAATTACGCCAGAAGAATGTTGGTCTGGTGTAAAACCTAGCTTGAGTCATCTAAAAGTGTTTAGATCTATATCACATAGACATGTGCCAGATCATTTGAGAATAAAACTTGATGACAAATCGAGTCAGGTGATCCTAGTAGGATATCATTCAACTGGAGGTTATAAGTTGTTTGACCCAATGAACAAGAAAGTAGTGATCAACAGTGACATGATCATAGATGGGCTCAAGGAATGAGATTGAACTGAAAATGTAAGCAATGATTCAATGATAATCTTTTGTGAAAAACCAACCACTGAAGTCGAAAGAGAAGAAGTTTGACAGGAAGAAGTAAGAGGTGATGCAGGCCCAAGAAGACCTCAAAGAACAACATACATGCTTGCAAGGTTGTAGGAATGTGTGATTATATTAGATGATGTGGTAGATAATGAAGGTGAGCTGGTACACTATGCTTTCCATGCAGATGTCAAACCAGTAAATGCAACTGAAACATTGAAGGATTTAAAGTGGGTGAGAGATATGAATGAGGAACTGGAGTCCATCGAAGTCAACAACACTTGGCGACTTGTCGAATTGTTTCAAGGCAAAAAGGAAATTGATGTAAAGTGGGTATACAGAGTGAAGTTGAATCACAAAGGATAAGTAGATAGACACATGGCTAGACTTGTGGCGAAAGGATTTCTTCAGAAAGAAGGAATATACTTCAATGAAGTTTTTGCACCTGTTGCTAGGATCAAAACAACTAGGTTGATTGTTGGTCTAGCAAACATGAACAATTGGCACATATGTCAGATGAACGTGAAATGTGCATTCTTAAACGGACCCTTAGACGAAGAAGTTTATGTTACATAACCAATTGGGTTTGTGAAGCATGGCGAAGAAAGAAATGTGTACAAGCTACATAAGGCCCTGTATGGACTTAAACCAGCTCCAAGAGCTTGGAATATGAAGATTGATAGTTTCCTAAGAGAGAAGGAATTTGTGAAGTGCACAACTGAGCATGGAGTATATGTAAGAAGGAGCAAGAGTGAATTGCTTATAATATGTCTCTATGTCGATGACTTGTTAATAACAGGTAGTTGTAAGAAGGAGGTCGAAGACTTCAAAGGTGATCTCAACAAGGAATTCAAAATGTTAGATATGGGCGACATACATATTTCCTTGGCATCGAATTCTACAAGAGTGGCAGAGGATTGATAATGCATCAAAGAAGATATGCAAGTGAAATTCTCAAGAGATTTGAGATAGAAGAATGAAACACGACTTCGACACCGGCTGAACTAAGACTGCAACTATGAAAGACTCAGATGAAGATAATGTCGAACCAACCCAAGACATAAAACTTATTGAGTTATTAAGATACCTTTGTCATACAAGGCCTGACTTAGCATACAATGTAGGTATGACGAGTAGATTTATGCAGAAGTCAAAGGTATCACATCTAGCAGCGACGAAGAGGATAATAAGATATCTGAAAGGAACTCTCGACTATGACATTCTGTTTCTAGTAGTTGATAAAGGAAAATAATGCAAGTTAATAGGTTACACCAACTCAAGTTGGTGTAGTGATGTTGAGGATTGAAAATCTATAGCTGGTTATGTGTTTATGCAAGGTGGTGCACTAGTTGCTTGGAGTTCGAGAAAAGAACTAGTAGTGGCACTATCGTCGTGTGAAGCATAATACATAGTTGCTTCTCTTTGTGCATGTCAAACAACATAGATGGTGAACTTGGTTGAAGAGATAACAGGGAAAAATCATGGAGTAATTACCATGAAGATCGACAACATGTCAATTATCAATCTAGCGAAGAATCCGATAACACATAGACGAAGCAAGCACATCGAAATGAGGTTTCTTTATCTTCGTGAGCAGGTAGTAGAAGAGGAGATGAACTTCGAAAATTACAGAAGTGAGAATCAAATTGTAGACATCATGACAAAGGGAGTGCAGGTCAAAGTGCTCATAAGACTAAGAACTATGATGAATGTAGATAGCTTAGACACAATGAATTAAGTAGTGTGTTGAGATTGTAATTCCTTGTGTCGAAGCAGGTTGCTCGACAGAAGGAAGATTGTATCAAAATTAATTGTGTGTGTGTTGAGTTGTAATAGTTATCGAAGTGTCGAAACAGCTAACTTCACATAAAGTGAATAAGATTTATTTATTTATTTATGAGACGAGTTGATTATGAGTATTTAAATTTCCATTACTTTTCATATTTATTTGTTGGTAGTGGCGAGTCAAATCTCCAAAAACAACATACACTTGTCTTAAACCACCAACGAAGAAATAAAAAAAGAACAAGAGATGAGTCTGCCAAGTCATGTCATGTCAGAAAAAGCATTTAGAAAGGCACTCTTTCTCTTTCTATAAACAATCTTCATCTTTCTTTTCTTCCTCTAATCTCTGATCTCACTCACTCCTTTTCCATTTCCCAAATCTTCTTCTTACACTGCATTGTACCTTTCAACTTCCTTCCTTCCACAACCTCTTGTTGTATTATAGTAGAACCAATCTCTCTTCTTCCTCTGCATGCTCTCTCACTGTAATCTTCTTCTTCTCTCTCATCTTCTCTTTCTTTTGTATTTAGGATTTTGTACTTTCTCTATTTATGTCTTACTTGTTTATTTTGTTTATGCAGGTCAGACCAACTCAATTTCTCTGCAATACAAACATCATTACATATACTTCACTTCAAAACCTATGCAATAACAACCATTAACAAGGTTTTTTTTTAATTTTTAATACCTTTCTGATTTTTTGCCTTCTTTTTCCATGAGTTATGTTTGTAGTGAATAGTGATGCAGTTAGTGAATAGGAATGGTGAAAATTTATGCTCCATAAATTTCTGAACCTGTTTCTTCTCTAGGTCTCTGCAGGAAAATTATTGTAACAACTTGTTACTAACACCAGGGTGGTTATTTGGGTTATATCTTTGACTGTGGATTAGTGTTATCATCAACTGAACTTGTGTAAATGGGGTGTGTGTTATCAAGTATTGATGAGGATGGAAGAGTTGGCATATGCAAGGAAAGGAAGAAGGTAATCAAACAGCTAGTGTGTAAAAGAGAGGAGTTTTCTGATTCCCTGCTAGCTTATTTGAAAGCATTGAGGAACACCGGCGCCACTCTCAGGCAGTTCACCGAGTCCGATATATTAGAATTGGACTTTGCATCTACTGGCCTGCCTGACCCCCCACCTTCCCCGCCGCCTAATTTGCTACTTCCACCACCGGTGCCTCCTTTTCTCACCGACAAGAGTATGCTGCAAGTTGGCCAAGATGAAATGCTAGAGAATGATGACATTGATCCAATTATGAACTCGCTGTTGCTATTTCGACCTATGGATAAAGTAGAAGTGGTAGAGTCCTTGGAGGAGGAGAATTGGGAAGAAACCAAAACGGAATTCGAAGATGAAGTCCAAGACTCGGAAGGTGATGCGAGTGTTAGAAAATTACGCAGTGGAAAGCAACAGGTTAGAGAACCAGTTGATGATAATCCATCTGCCATTTGTTTGTTTAAAAAAGAAACTCACGTTCCGAAAGCTACGCCCAAGGGAGTTGGTAGAAATGTGAAAACTTTGGAGGGTATAGTTAAAGAGTTAGATGATCATTTCCTGAAAGCATCAGCATGCATAAAGGAAATTGCTGTCCTCATTGATATCAGCAGTGGAGATACTCTTCTGCGGCAGAATTCTGGCCGTCATCTTAGTAAGGCTACATTCATAGTGTTCTTATGGATTGTTGAAGTTCTGTTATTCTACATATTCTCTATATGTTTCATGTCTTATGAAAAACTTATAGTTGATTATTCTAGACATTATTTTTATGTTCTTGTGGCTTTATGGCATGTTCTTTGTAGGCAAGAGAACCAATTCTGCAAGGGTGTTTAGTGTACTGTCATGGAGTAGGTATACTAAGTCGCAAACATTCACCAAAGGTGACGCCGACTTTTCTAGTCCTAGTGAACCATGCAGGCCTGGAGCTCATTGTGCCACGCTTAAAAAACTATATGCCGCTGAGAAGAAACTTTACGAAGCAGTAAAGGTAAGCCATAATAAAACCAGTGGGCAGTTTATGGTGCTGATTTTTATTTGTGTTGGGTGCCTTTAATCAAAATTTGATAAGCTTCCATTTATTGCGCTTACTAAAGTTTTTTTATTATTAAAAATTTGCATTCTTGAATGATACTTTTTTCTCATTGCTCAAATGTCAATATAACGTAGGAGGAGGGAATCACCAAATTGGAGTTTGAGAGGAAATCCGCCTCATTGCAAAAACAAGAGGATGAGAATCTTGACTCGGCCAAAATCGCCAAAATTCGATCAAATGTTGAGAAGTTGGAGTCTGATTTAATAAGCCTACGGCAGTGCATCAGTGAAACATCATCATCAATTTTGGAACTTATAGATGAAGAGCTCTTACCACAATTAGTTGCATTAACAGCCGGGTATATATTGCAAGTCGTCTGGTGGCATCATGAAACACGTAACAGTGTGTTAATTATATCTGAATCATATCCTGTGTTTTGATTTAAAGTCTTGTTTGTTTCATAGGTTGTCACAAATGTGGAGGATAATGCATGAGTGCCATCAGTCTCAGGCTCTGATCTCTCAGCAGTTGATTAACCTAAGTGATAACCATAACACAATTCTAAGTTCTGAATATCACTACCAGGCTACAATTCAGTTCGAGAGTGAGGCCTCTTATTGGTATAATAGCTTCTGCAAACTTGTAAAATCGCAACGAGAGTACGTAGGGACCCTCAGTAAGTGGATCAAGCTTACGAACTGCCTCAGGGATGGTCATGAAAGCGGCGATCACTCTTCTATTCGCACCATTTGTGAACAATGGGAGCTCGGCCTTGATGGATTACCTGATAAGGTACTTCATGCCTTTATTTTTTTTATCCTTTATCTATATTACAAACGAATATATGTTATGAGTGAAATGATAACAATTTTCTGGCGTTTTGCCTTGGTATGATTACAGGAGGTCGCGGAAGCAATAAAAAACCTTTTGATGTCTATCCGTTCCATAATTGCTCAACAGGCCGAGGAAGATAACATTCTGAAAAAGTTGGAAAAACTTGAAAGAAAGTTGCAGAGGTGCTCGGCATCCATGGCTGTAATACAGAAAAAAATGGAATGGAATTTCGAAGAAGATGATGGAGATGTAGCTAATATAAGCCCGAAACATCCACTATTTCAGAAAAAAGCTGAAACAGAAGCCTTGAAGAAGCAAGTGGAAAGTGTGAAAGAAGATTATTTGGATTCTGTTCAATGTAGTAGGACCATGACCCTAGATAGCCTCCGAACTCGACTTCCCCATCTCTTCTTGTCACTGATGGAATTTTCAAGTGCTTCCTCTCAAACAATTGAGGCTATAAATTCTCAGTCAAGTCAATAGAATGCAGTAACTATCTCACAAAAACATGTTCACTTTTGTGCTAATATGAACAAATACATGATGTAAATTGTGTTTCTAAAATGTATGTACTGAAACAAAATTGTGTTTAGTCTTTACTTTATGGTGGCTCTTTGTAGTCCTTTGATCCTAAAACAACTTTTCAGTGGAGCAATTTGAAATATAGTACTTACTTCTTTTGTAATAAATTATAAGCAAATTTTACTTTTTAGATTTATTAAATAATTGATGTATCGGATTTATATATAGAAAGTATTCAATGAATCTAAAAACTAAAATTTATTTATAATTTATTTAGAGTAATAAAAAAAATATCAATAATAGTTGGTGTGATGATAGTGTCATAAGTTAAACTATTTCTACTACTGTAAAGAAATTTAACTACCTTCAATAAGTTTTGTTTGTAGCTGTTTTCTCAAGATAATTGTTTATTTACTATACTAATACAATATTTATTATTTTTTCTACTACTATACCTTTATATTATATGTTATTGGAGATTTTGGAAAAGTTGGCAGCAACAGCAAAATTAATGCTCCATCACCACAAGAAAGTGAGAAGTTATATCTTCATCTAAATTTTTAAGGTTTTGGAGAGAGATGTGATGTCTTTTTTTTATGACCCTAGAGCATTTGGCTCATTGTCGATTATGCTTCTCCCAGATTTCTGCAGCTACAACAACACCAACTGCTTGCTGATGAATGCATATAAGAGTGATTTATTTATTCATGTATGTTTCATTATGTTGCATTTTTTCCTGAACACTATTTAACAAATTTAGTACTTTCATTAATTTTTCAATTCTTGTTATTTATTCTATGAGATTTTATGTTTAGAGGAGGAAATATAAACTATTTCATCTATGTATGATAAAAAATTGTTACTTTGTTTTAAGTTTTAAATTTGAAGCATGATTAAATTTATCTTAAAACTACTATCAATTAGTATAATTTTTTGTTGAGATTGGTTGTAAACCGTAGCACATAGCACCTTTACTATTTATTTTTCTTTTAATTTTTTGTTGGTTGATTTGATATAATTGTTTGTTCTACTCTCTTTACTTTGAATGAGTAAAATAGTCACTAAATATATATTAATAAGTGATAAGAAATTAATTCTGTACAGTATTTTATTTGATCTGCTCTACAAAGTAAAAATACTTTGAAAAGTAAAGTTAACAAAAAAAATGAATGAGGAAGGAAAAAACAACAAAATCAAATGAATGGTGAGATTAATTTGATTCCATATATACCGCATATATCATTGATGTAAACTTAATATATTATCATTTTACTAATTTAATTATTTAATTTTAATATTTATTAACTAAATTATTAAGATTATCTAAAAGTTATGACGTTTACTATTAAAAATTAATTTTAAGATTGACTTTCTTATTTATATTTATATTTTAATTTGTAAACAATATTTATACGTATCATACTAGTATTTGTGTTAATATACAAATAACACATCAAAATCATTTGAACGCACGAATAATCATAATAGAATTTATGCAAACTTACGGATAATATATCGGTATCGTATAAACGCACAGATAATCAAATCAAATTCAGCGTGAATACATGAGTAATACACCATTTTATTTTCCTTTTTTAAAAATAATAAATTATTTTTATTAGGTAACTTTATTTTTTTCTATTTCATTTTATTTATTATTTTCCTTTTCCTTTTTCATTTTGTCATTTTGTCATTTTTCTTAAGATTTAATTATTGTTTTATTTAATTAAACAATAATTTATTTAATTAACTTATATATTTATCTTTGATTATTTTTATTTTTTCTTTCTTATAATTAAATTTAAATATTTTCTATTTTATTTGAATTTCAAAATCAAACTGGTGACAAATCCGGGGTCCACACCAGAATTCATGCGGACGCACGCGTAACCAGGTCAAAATCTGTGTGAACACACGGATAACACAGCAATTTCGTGTGAGCGCATGGATAACCAGACCAAAATTTGTGTGAACGTACATATTATTACATTTATGTATAATTAAATAAAATAAAATTAAATATATTTAAAATAATGTATGAATCCAAACACTATAAAAATGTGTTGTTTTTTAATTATTTATGTGTATAATATTTTTATTTTAAAATTATTTTTAATTTAAAATACAATAATATTTTAGATAATATTTGAATAATTGAAAAATATATTATTGATGTATTTCTTTAAAAAATTAAAACAATTTTGTTTTTATTTTAAAAATATGTCTTTCTTTTAAAAATGAATTATTTTGATAAAACTATTTTATTTTTCTTATTTACAATTTTATTATATTTTGAAAACAAAAACGTACGCATAAAACAAGTATCCGTGCGGACGCACGGGTATCCTACTAGTTATTATAACAAATGCATAAATTATCTATTTGATAATCATATATGAAGAATGATTCCGATAAAAAGAGAGAATCAAATCTAAAGAAGAAACTCATGTTACAAAAGCTATTCCAAAGGGGTTGGTAGAAGTGGGAAAACCTTGGAGGATACAATTAAAGAGTTAGATGATCATTCCAGAAAGCATCATCATGCATAAAGAAAATTGATGTTCTCATTGATATCAGCAGCAGAGATACTCTTCTGCGGTAGAATTCTGGAGGTCGTCATAGTAAGGCTACATTCATATTTTGGTCTTTTAGGATTGTTGAAATTCTGTTATCTGATTAGGTTTTTTGATCGGCTAACCATAATATTTTCCTTTATGTTATAAAGGCTTAAACATAATATAAAAAAGGCTAACAAGAATCAACTATCTATAAAACTTGTGCGCAAATAAGATGGCGACAAGACTGTGCGCCGCCCCTTGAAACTATTGCAAGAATATTTGTTAGGGCGAAGAGATTAGTTCTGCCCAACAAAGATATGCTCACCAGATAATTACCATAGAGGACCTGCCAACAAATTCGGAGATAGGCAAGATCAAAGCACCAGAGGTCGAGACTATTTTTTTGGAAAAAGACGTAGTAAACATCCATCCCCATAATGATGATCCCATAACCATCATAGTGAGGTGTGATGACTAGGAAATTAGAATAGTATTAGTATATCAAGAAAGTTTCATAGATATCTTCTAATGGGATGCATTTGAGAGCCTTCTCCTCAACCTAAATGATCTAAAGTATTTCAAAGGATCGTTGGTTGGATTCTCTGGGGAGCAAGTACATGTAAAAGGGTACATAACATTGAAGATCACCTTCGAAGTGGGGGAACAAGCTAAGTAGATCAAGGTCAAGTATCAGATTATAGACGGCCCATTTTCCTATAATATGATCATAGGCCAACCAACTTTTAACCAGTTGTGTGTCGCCTTGTCTACTTTATATTTGTGCATGAAGCATATGCTCTCTGATAAGCGAGTTGGAGTCATTCACGGAGGCCAAGAAGTCTCTAGGAAATTCTATGTGGAATGCATAAAGTTGAAAAGGGTATGAACTCTAGGTGTGAACACCAAAAGCGTGGGCCAGAGAATCAAGCCACCAAAAATGGCTCTAAAATATGGAGATGCTTCTCCTCATAAGGGCGAGAAGATAAAATAATAAAGCCTCAACGGGAAAACTCTAGAAGTACTCTCTTTTTATCGTTGTTTGTTATGTTTCTATTATTTCTATTTTAGGTTAGTATTATACTTTTGCCATTTGTAAGGACAAATTATTTTTACGGGGAATCACTCTTTTTCCTTTCTCCTTGTGAGGGGGCAAGAATTTTTAATGAGGCTTCTCATTTTGTTATTTTGAATTATTTGCATTATTGTCCCCCTTTTTATTTGCAGGAAACTAGATAAAATTTCCACCTGAGGCGATAATAAAATGTTGGATCCCTACGAGGGATCCGTGTCGTCCTTTCATGCGATCAAATATGATGGATCTCCATGGAGGGATCCTTTCCTCCCTTGATAGGCGATAACATGTTGGATCCTTACGGAGAAATTCTAATTGCACTTTGAGTCGATAATAAAATGCTGGATCGCTACAAGGGATTCTTGTCGCCGTTTAAGACGATCAAACATGTTGGATGCCCATGGAGGTATCTTTTTCTCCCTTGAGAGGAGATAATATGCTAGACCCTCATGGAGAAATCCTAATTGTATTTTGATACGATAATAAAACGCTGGATCCCTATGAGATATCCTTGTCACCCTTTGAGGTGATCAAACATGTTGTATCCCCATGGAGGGATCCTTGCGTCCCTAAAGAGGCGATAACACACTACATCTCTATGAAGGATCCTTTCCGTCCTTTGAGGCAATTAAACATGTTTAATCCTCATGGAGGAATCCTTGTCTCCCCTGACAAGTGATAAAAATTTGGATCCTAATGGAGGAATCCTTGTCGCCCTCCAAGGCAATAAAAAACATTGGATCCTTGCTATGGATCCTTACCGCCCTTTGAGGCGATCAAACATATTGGATTCTTATCAAGAGCCATTTCTGCCTTGTCTGAGGCGATCAAATACGCACAATCCATGTATAGGGATCACTATCGCCATTATGGAATATGATAACATATTAGAAGAAAGAAAATCATGTACAAATAGGGGGTAACATCCAAAAACAATGGAAAAACTAAACGATTACAAAAAGGGCGCTGAGGTACATGGGACCCATCAAGTAACCTACTTGTCATCCTCTAGCTGACCATCCCAAACCACCTTAAACAGGTCCATCTGACTCAATTCTAGGTTTGGATTGAAGAAGGTAACTTGTTCGTTTACCCTCTCAAAGTACTATTCAAAAGTGGCCACCACTTCATCCTTGAGTGATGATGCCTCTTTCTCAAGATCTTTTATGGAACTGGTGGCTTATTCGAGTGATCCCTTCAAATATTCCCCTTCTTTAGCATATATATGTGCTTTTAAAGCCACCTTCTTGAAGTGAAATTTTAAATCATCATGTTCCTTTGACATCACTGTCACCGTCGTATGACGTTATTGAATACACCTATGATAAAATCAAGCCTAGATTACAACTCATCGGTCATTTAGAAATGCTTTTCCCACTAGACTCCCTCCACCAAGAGACATCTCAACATGTGAACTATTGAAAGTCTCATTAAATAAGAAGGATATTTGTTCTAGATTGACCAATAATCACCAGGAAAATTCTCTAGAAAATGGAGGCAACACCCAGTGAAATTGGTCGCACTAAAAGAAGGATCACACCACAACAAGGGTCAAGGAGCTCCCACCATCGAAATATACTTTCCATCTTCCTTTCCTCCCTAGCCGACTATCTGATCGTCTCACCAAGGCCCCAAGGAACCCTTCTCTTGTCTTTGGCTCTTTGGAGGGTGAGCATCACCATCACGAAATGTCTTGCCCCTCCTCTTTCTTCCGGACACCAACAAATCTATAAGGTAATCTTGAGAAATAGTTATGGGTCAATGTTCGGCCTGCATCGGAATCTAGTGTACTCGCCTCTCTATGAGAGAGAGTCTAGACATTTCCCCTGTAAAACAAGTACATTAAAATGTATAAAGCAATAAGGAATAAATCAAGTAAGAAGGTTTCCTTCATACCATAAAGCTTACTAAGGTACATCTCTACCATGCTATCATCTTTCTGGTTCAAGGTAATTAGAGTAAAGGAGCTCATAAGCCAGAAATAACTCAACACCTGGATCACCTCTTGCTCAAGGGTAGTAAGGTTACTGAATTCCATTCCATTAATGAGCTGAGGGTTCATTGCCCATGATAGAGGAAATCGAGAGGCATGTGGCGAAAGATGTCAAAGTATGATTAAATGTGTTGAAGTTTGTTTAAAGAAAAGAAGTTTTAAAAGAGAAGGCACTCGACAAAGTCGGGGTTTATTATGAAAGTGGTTCGAGTTTATAAAGAAAGAAGATTTTGAGAAAAAAAATGAGAAGGTTTTGAAAATTAAAGAATGGGAAAAATGAAAAGAATATCCTATGTACAGGAGGGTAAAAGATACAGTAAAGCGAATCCGGCCGAACAAGAAACTAGTACTTTACATGATGAAGTCAATATTGTATTCCCATCCCTTTGGGTTTAAAGCCACAGACAGAAAAATTAAGCTAAGAGTATACCAACCTCAGGTGAAAATAAATCACAAGTCGACAGCATCAAAAAATCAGATGTAAGATTATACTCCAAGCAGCGAATAAAAAATAGTGCAGCACGTGAAAATAAATCACGGACGAAGAACGGGTGGATAAAGCTCACGGTACCGGATAAGGCTCGTCGAGCGAAGGAGGATATTTTTCTAGTTTTGTGCATGTGGCACGGGCTTCATGGTGGAATAAAAGGTTGTGGCCAAGCGACACTTTGGCTCGTCGGGCGAGCGTATCTAGACCAAAATTTTGTATTTATTTCACATTCATTTCATTTGTTAGGGTTATAGTTTTGAGGTTGTTTTTTATTCTCCAAACCCCATCAATCTCATTTTTCATTAGGATTAGCTTAGAAAATAACAATGAAGCTTGCACACGGATGATTCGGGGTGGATTTCTCATTGATCAGCGCTGACAAACTAGGAGATTTGTGGTTCATTTCTCTTCTTCTTTGTGTATTCTTCATTTATTGGGTTTTGTATATGTATTTACTTTGAACTCATGTATATTTATCTCCCATGGCGTTATATAAAGCTTGCTTTACAAATCTTTGTCGATTATTATCTTGGATTTTTACTCTATGTTTAGGATTTGGATTGTTATAGACATATATTGCTTGAATTCTTATCTAGGTTGATTAAATAATAATGTCTAGATTCTTGAGATAGATTTAGAGCTACTATTCACATGGGTTTCTATAATTAGTGCCTCTGTGTTGGTTGTGTTGTTCTGAGAAATCGTTAACGCGAGTAGTATTATTGACTTATATGTTGTTGAGGTTGGTTGAGAGATCGCCTTCAAGATGATACGGTGGGTGTTGTGGTTGATATGTGAGAACATTGATAAGTATTGTAGGTTGAGTATAATTGGTTGATAGGTTTAAGTTTGTGAGGAGTGGATTATATGCATGCCTGATAAGCTCTTCTCTCTGAAGAATCTATTTATTTTCCTGTTAATAGTTTTTCCTTTCTATACAAACCAACCCATTTAAATCAAACTCATAAATGAGAGAAATTGTCGAACGAAAATTCAGTAGCACTAATCCCTGTGGAGACAATGTGATAAAACTAAATAAATATTTACTTTTGCTTGCCGCTTTAATGCTTCAGTAGCAGGACCTACAAAAAGTCAGGAACAAAACCATGCACAAGGCCAAGTGCAAAGACATGAACAATATCAAGTGCAAACAAAAGAACAATTTCAAGTGCAAACATAAGAACAATCTCAAGTGAAAACATAGGAAAAAACACAAGATACTGGGGCAGGTGCACCAAGCCAAGGAAAGAAAAGGAAAAGGCAGAAAAGAAGTTGCGACAAACCCAAGAGCAAACACGAAATGTTGAAATTGCAGTTGCAACTCAAAAAAAAGTTCAAGGGAAGAAAAGAAAGGTAACAATATCATGTATGTGTAATGTGTTAGAAAAATAGTATTATTTGCATTGATGTTTATGTCATGTGCAGGAAAAACCAAAGAAAAAAGCTTGTAACACTGATGTTGGACCTGCAGCTCAAGAAAATCCATAAGAAATGAAATCTCACTTTGATGATGATCCTGAATTTGAAATGCTTGCAGCAAATCTTGCAGCAGCCTTTGAGGCAACACAACCTCAACCAAATTCCAATGATGTTACATCCCAATATACTCAAAAAGCACCTGCTCATATTGGCCAAACCGCACTTGTTCTAAATGCTCAAACAATTGAACCTGTTATAACTCAGTCCCAAACTAATTATATTTTGTCTGCACCAGTTATTCGAATTACTGAACCTGTTGTTGAGGCACCTAGCCCCAAACTGAGGAGAAGTCATAGAATAACGAAGTGATGACCAAGACATATTTTCTGTGTTATGATGTTTTATTGAGACCTTTATGATGTATTGTGATGCATGTATTTATCATGTATTTTGAGACCTTTATGGCCAAGACATAATTATGTTTTATGATGTATTTTGGCCAAGACCTTTATGCAATTAGGGCTTAATATGTTTTTTAGATTGTGGCTTTACTTAATTTGGCCAAAAACTTTAAGGATATATGTAATGCATTATCGGTTTGTGCAAACTTTTTTTCCTATTGATAATGTTTATATGCATTATATGTCATTCATAAACATGGATGAAATATATTAAACAACTAGGGACGACTATCAAAAACACAAAAACATATAGGGACACAATTTATAAAATACAAAAACTTAAAGGGACTAAAATAAAAAAACTCATAAACATACAGGGATGAAAATCGTCATATATTCATAACTTCATTCATTAATAAATAATTACATGAACAATTAACTACAATCACAACCATTTATTATAGACAATGAATAAACACCACGACATAATCAACAACATCTTATACAAATTGGCTTTTTTCTTTTGTTTTCCAACTTTATCTTCATCTTATCTTTTGTCATAGCCTCAAGGTCTTTAATAATGCAACATAAATCCTTCACAACTGTGATACGGTGGGAAGAATTGACTGTTTTTTGGAATGCTGGTTCGCGTTTTGCGTTTTTTGTTCGCAAAATGTCGCGGTAAGCAAGAGTCGCCACTGACTTTTATTTTATCTAACAAGGAAAGGAAAAAAGCACATAAAAATTCTTTTTTCGAGATATTTCTGAGTACGGGGGATAGATTTATAGAAAGGGAAGGTATTAGCACCCTTTCTATCTGTAGTTATCTACGGGCTCTTAGGTACTTGCTCATCATTTTCAAAATTGTTTCCTTTGTGCTTGTGGGTTTTGAAAAGTTTTTTTTTTGTTTTAACTTCGATTTAACTCTTGCTTCTGTCTTCAAGAGTGTAATGAAGTGTTTTTGAAAACTTGTTCGTAAAAGTGTAAGTGTGGAAAAAAAAGTTTGTTTTGGATGAGCAAGTATCTAAGAACTAATCTACCTACTCGAAAAAGGAATCGTTTTATGCTAATTTCCTTTAGACAATGCTATCCCACTATTGGTGAGTGAGTAGCACCGTCGTTGGAGTTTTGAGGGTCAATTCGAAAGAGGGACATACAGTCACTAAAGCAATGTTAGGACGTCTTAGCGGTAACCCTAATGTTTTAGACAATTTGTTCGAGGCAACAATATCCGAGGCAACCATTTCGAGGCAACTATGATCTTTTAGGCAAGAGGGCGACCTCTAAAACAACCTATACTCAATGACCGTTTACGAAGGCAACCGAGCGGGGTGTACCCTAGGAGTGCGCATGTGCGAGTGTATTGATTTCAGTTATTTTTATCTTTGCACATGTTTAGGATGATCTAACCGTTTTAAAATTAGACATTCATTCTTGTCATGCAAACCCTATTATCAAACATCTAGCAATTGTATAATCGCAGAATTTAAAGGTGCGGAAATTAAACTAAATTATTATAAGGCGTCGGGTATTTACATCGCCAAAAACAACCCTTTGAAAATAAAAGCGGTAAATAAATGTCCTAATTAAATTATTACAAGCCAGAAGCAGATACAATAATTGAATAAAATAATAAAGCGCGCGATGTGAAATTAAATTGAATGCGAATTTAGGGTTTTGACCCTTTTAATTAAAAGAAAATGTTTTTTTTTTGTTTTTATTTTTAAGAAAAGAAATTAAATCCTAAAATTAAATGTTAAATTAAATGGTTATTAAATTAATAATTGAAAAAAATAATTAATGTTATTTTTTTGGATTTTTTTGTTAATTTAGGAAAGAAAATAAAATAATTAAATTAGGATTAAAACCTATTAATTCTAATTAATTTTAAATATTTACAAAAATCAACTAAAGTTATCTAACATTAATATCCTAATTAAATTAATTAGTATTTATTTAAAAAAATAAAATTCTGAAATTTGATTGGATAAAAATATTTTTTGTGATTTTTGATAAAAAGGAAAAATTAATTATTGGTTAGTAATTAAATAAAATAAAATAAAATAATTAAATGAGATAAACAAAAATATTAAAAAAGTAGAGAATGGGCCTGATTTAGGGTGTGTGAATAGCAATTTTCCAGGCCCATTTGTGAAATCCACATTGACTTTTGCAATCCCATGCGCTAGCGTTGACTTGGTCCTTTGGTGCACCTTCAATGCTGGCCACCAGATCTGGCCATCTGGCCATCTTGCACACTGATGAGGAAGGCATATGGTGGTCATCAAGCTCATGCACACACTAGATTTCCTGCAAGAAAACATTATTGAGAAAATAGGGGGACCTGGGATTCGAACCCAGGTCCTGAGAGGAATTCCATACACTCCCTTGCCACCATGCCATTTGTTGCTGTTTGTTAATATAATACAAATCAATGATAATATATAAAAACAAAAGTTAATGGACAGAAATAGAAAAAATCACGCGCTCGTTTGAACATGCCTATGGGGGGGGGGGTGACAACTCATCGTCCCCTTCCTCCCTCCGTAGCTAAAAATCTGTAACACCTATACCTACGGATGCTGGCCGTCACTACAAGTCATGTCCATTCCAAAATCTCGTACATGCTATGTAAATGCATTCTAAGACCACGATTGAGGCCGTCTCATCCTCCTGATTGCAACCATGCCCATTATTAGGGCCAATTATTCCTGAAAAGTAAAACCCCCAAAACAAATCTGAAACCCTAACAATGGTGGATTTCGTTACAAGTCATATAAATGCAATTGAGTAATGCCAAAAGCTTGCAAATGATTTGTAGATTAAGAATATGCCATCAATTCATGTCAACAATGCCTAAATTTTAAAATACGAATTCAAGAACAGGGCGAGTTCGTGAGTGACTTACAGCGTATTCTGGGATTGGAATGGACTGGTTCTGAGTTGCTTTAGCTTCTAGAGAATGCCAGGAAGCGATTGAGACACGTAACAGGCCTTGACGATGCCTCTAACCTCTATTTCGATCTCACACTTTCTTTGATATTTTTCAGATTTTGTTCTTTCTCTATGCTTAATCTCCAACCCTTTTTTTTGGTATGCCTCGCCTCCTTATGTATTGTACAATGCTTAGGGTTGATTGCCTTGCCCAAATCTTCCTCTTTCAATGACTTTGATATTTGATTTGATCCTCCTTTAAAGCTTTCCAAAATTGGCTTATTTTGAATCTTTTTGTGCACACAAGCTTTGATACGAATTTGGAATGGTGCTAGTTGTCCAATGAAACCTGAAATCATCAAAAGATCTTTGGTTTTCAATATTTTTGATTTTATTTGATTTAAAATGAATTAATTCAAATAAAAACCAAATTAAATAATAAAAATATGATATGGACACATGGCCAAGACTAGAGCACGTGGGCTATGATGCCAACTCAAAACAAGTGAAAAAGAATGGGCCCATTTGGCAAAATTCGAAGTTTTGAGCATAGTTGACTTTTGGCAATTTTGCAAAAAAGTCCATCTTCTACAATGCATAACTTCCTCAATTTTGACTCTTTGGATGTGTTCTTGGACTTTTTATAAATATTGTGATGTCATCTAAGCAACCCTTTTGGTCTCATCTCAATTTGATATTCCATGCTCATGTATGAAGCTTTGACAAAAAAGGTGTTTTTGTTGACTTTTCAAAATGACCTATAATGTCCAAATTCATAACTTTTTGTGAGTGCATATTTTGATCTTGGGAGATGAATATGGATTGTATGGAATTTCATCCTCTTCAAAATGATATTTGGATGGGTCATTTATCAAAAAGTATGAGAAAGTTATGCTTGGTCAAAGTTGAGTTGACTTTTCCTATAAAACCCTAATTTAGCAACTTTTGAGTCTTGATGATTTGTGAGCAATCCTTGATGAATCATGATCAACCCTTGATCAAATTATGAAATATACTTCAAAATGAGAATGTTGACCAAAAATATTGAAGTTTGACTGTATGGGGGTCACAGTTGACTTTTGCCCTAGCATAGTCGATTTTTGGGCCTTTGAGCAATTGACTGAGCAAACTTCCTCTGCAAGGCTTGAAACTTGACATGTATGATCTTGAGAACATATTAGGACATTGGTGAGCACTTTGGATCACTTGGACTCAAGGATCTTGATGTAACATGAAACCCTAATTTGAGGTAGACTGCCTTAGGAGAGAGCTTGTCTGGCCAACCCTTGGGCTACCTTGAGCAACTTGAGGATCTTTCTTGAAATATCTTGAGAAATATGGAAGGGAAAATTTTGGGTTACAACAGCTTCCCATGTTCAATCTTCTTAAACCTGAGGATGCAGATTGGCTTTCGTGCCTTTCGTAATCCGAAGGTGGAAGTGGATTGAACACTAGAGTGCCCAGAAATTTGCACTCGCATGAAGTGATAATTATATTATGATGTCGGGAATGGGCTTATAGATTCCATTTGGAAGAGTGTTGATCTCATAAGAGATTCCTTAGCGAGAGCTTGTATACCTGTTGTTGAGGAAAATTTCGCCGGGGAAGTCTGATCTTTGTTGAGGGAAGTAGAATTTTAAGAACTTTGTCGTCCGTTATTCTGTTGGTGAGTCGTCTTTGTTGATATTTAGGAACTTCAATCGTCCGTACTCAACTGGGGAATCAACTTTGCTGAGATTTAGGAGCTCGTGCATAATTCAACTAAGAAGACATCTCTGCTGAGATTTAGGAACTCGTCCATAATTCAACCGAGGAAACATCTCTGTTGAGATTTAGGAGCTTGTCTGTAATTCAACTGAGAAAATATCTTTGTCTAGATTTAGGAACTTGTCCGTAATTCAACTGGGAAAATATCTGTCGAGATTTAGAAACTCGTCCGTAATTCGATAACTTTGCTGAGATTTAAGAGCTCGTCCGTAATTCAACTGGAGAAACATCTTTGCTGAGATTTAGGAGCCTGTCCGTAATTCAACT